GCCGTGATGCAGCTGACAGTCTAACAGGGCACATAGAAAATGAACAAGTAATCCGTACAAGTGACCCATCACAATTCTACCCAGTGTTGTAGAGCGGGGTGCTTCAAGAGTGTCTACCAAGTAGGACTGACTACTTCCCCGGGGGTAAGAAGGAAGGGCAGAGATGTTGGCCTAGAGCCGAGGTGGTTGAAACCAGCAGTATCTCAGCATCACCTGGGAGCTTGTTAGAAATCCAGATTCTCAGATTCTCAGGCCTGTACTCAGACGTACTCAGTCGGGCCTTGGAAGTGAGGCCCAGCACTGTTGTAACCACTTCTCTTGGTGATTCTGATGTACGTTCAAGTTTGAGAACCACTGGCCTAGAAGAAATAACCTTAAAACTCAGCTGTAAAGCTGTTCCAATCAACATGGTAGCTACTGGTCACATGAGCCTTTGAAATGTGGCTGGTCCAAGTTGAGCTGTGCTTTAAGTCTAAAATATCCATAAGGTTTCAAAGACTTACTATGAAAAAAAGAATGTGAAATACCCCATGAAGAATTTTATATAGATCATAGGTCAGAATAACATTTTGAACCTATAAGGTTAAATAAAATATATTATTAAAATTAATTTTATTTATTTCTTTTCCCTTTTTAATATGGCTTTTAGAAAAATCTAAAATTACAGATGCGCCTGGGTGGCTCAGTCGTTAAGCATCTGCCTTCGGCTCAGGTCATGATCTCAGGGTCCTGGGGTGGAGCCCCGCATCAGGCTCCCTGTTCAGCAGAGAGCCTGTTCTCCCTCTCCCTCTGCTGCTCCCCCTGCTTATGCTCTCTCTGTTTCTGTCTCTCTGTCAAATAAATAAATAAAATCTTTTAAAAAAAAATCTAAAATTACATATGTGGCTTATAGTATATTTTGATTGGACACAGCTGTTTTTTTTTAAAGATTTTATTTATTCATAAGAGACAGAGAGAGAGGCAGAGGGAGAAGCAGGCTCTCCGCTGAGCAGGGAGCCCGATGCAGGACTCGATCCCAAGACCCTGGGATCATGACCTGAGCCGAAGGCAGACGCTTAACCATCTGAGCCACCCAGGCGCCCTGGACACAGCTGTTCTAAAGGATGACTAGAGGTTACCTAAAGCTGGGTGGGACCGAGGTGGCTGTGGAGGGGAGGGGAAGCTGGGCGAGGGTTCTGGATAGGGTACAGTGTGTGCAGAGGTCCTGAAGCAAGAAAGAACACGGCATGCTCAAGGAAATAGAAGAAAACCAAAGCCTCGCAGTTCACATTAAGAATTTTGAACTTTATCCTAAGACCAACAGGAAGTGATTGAGGATTTTAAATTAGGGTGCTCACTTTTCAGGACTTTTGCAGCTAATCAGTGAGGGCATGAGAGCTACATCTGAATATAACAAGACTCTCAGAATCCAAGCTTCTTCCCTCTCCCAAAAGATGGTGGGGGTTGGAGGCATTTGGTCAGGACCGAGAGGGAGCAGGACGCTGCCCATCACCGGCCCGTGCCCTAGGATCCGAGGCACAAACACCCCTGACAAAAGGGAGAAGCAGACACCTGGGAGAGGTAGTTTTGCTTTCAGCTCAGAGCTGGCAGAAGCATTTCCGGAAGAGTCCAAAGTTGAGTGGAAGTTTGATTACAGAGCTGGGGCTCTGCAGGGAGCTGGCCAAGGGTTTGGCGAAGGAGGGTCAGGGACAAGGAGGCCAGCAGGTGTGGAGGTTAGAGAGTGTTGAACAAAGCAGGGGAAGCCAGGATTGGAGCCTGGAGGCTGGGGGTCTGACCATCTCCCAGGGTAAGGTGGCCTCTTCTTTCGTCTGTGGCCTGGAGGAGATTCTTTATAAGTCATGGACTCAATCTAGCCTCCAGACATATTTCATTGAGCTCACATTTTTCAAATGTATTTAAATTAGTCAGCAGTATTAGTATTAGATGTCGCATAAAAAAATGTGCATTTCTGGTGTTTTTGAAAATTGGAAGGTCCAGGAACCCCAGTTCTAAGCCTCATAGAGAAATGGGGGAGCTAAGTAGTCACTACTCCTTTTAGTTTTATATGAACTTTTAGGAGCTGAAATGACAATTTTTATGTTTTTTAAAGAAGACTTTTTTTTTACCCCGAAGGCAAAATTGAGTTCATGGGTCTCTGTGGTCTGACTCGAAGTCTTACATTCTCTCCAATGTTTGCTTTGAGGAGTCCCATCTTCTGTTTGTTCTCCAGAAAGGTTCTAAGAATGGGAGCCTTAGTTCAGTGAGACCAGGTTATACAAAAGCTCTGTCCACTGACACAGGAATCGCGTCCATCAGAGAAGCACGCGTGGTCCCCAAAAGTTCTCCACGGTTCCCATCACCCCTGTGGCCCAGCATCGCTGCTCTTCACCTCAGTCTGGCCCCTGGGACATGTGAGTTTGCAGCCCCTGCCTGAAACTTTAAATGAGACTGACTGCACTACTGTGTGTTTGTTGGCAAAAACTTGGTATACCAGCTCCCATGGTGATTAAAATCTTAAAGATTTCCAACTCTAAACCTCAACAGCTCCTCTGTAAATATTCAGCAGTTAATTAAGTAGGAAGTCAGTTGATAGCAGCAAGGAGGAGAGAAGGAAGTAACTTTGTTTACGCAAGACAGATGCACTAGTCTAGTACCTTATCCTGTATTCACCACTGTATGCTGGAGTGAGGGAAGGGTGTGTATTTGTGTAGTCTTCTGGCTGTGGTACTGTTTCTCTGCTCCAGTGTATGTAATTGGGCGGCGGCGGGGGGGCTGGAAACAGAGAAATTGTTCTATTTCTTAAACAAAGTAAGCAAACAGCAGATTCAAATACTGCCAAGCTTGGCAGTAAGTGCCTGGGTGTTCATGATGTTATTCCTCTTTGTATATATTTTGTTCTCTTGATATAATTCGAAATCAAAGACAAGGGAGAAGTGCTTCTGCCTACAGAATTTGTTTATCATACCCTTTTCCATTTGAAGGGAAAATAGCTTCATTAGCATAAGGAGGCTTCTTGCTTGACAAGACAAAGTAAGGGTTGAGGTGGCTTCTCTTTTCTCCATCCCCCTTCACCAGCAGCAAAAAACAAAACAATAAATGTTACAAGGGGGTGGATCTAGTTTTTGATTGGTCAGAAATACAAAAATGTCTTTCTTTTGCAAATTAAACACACGCATACATGCACGCACGCATGCATGTATGCACCTGTGAGCGCGCACACACACGTGCACACACACACACACGCGTGTGCATTCGTTATTTGGTTTCTCCCAGTGCCTTAGAAGGAGTTTGTTCAAGGGAAGGAGCCTGAAGCTTGAGCTTCATTAGCTTCATAATTATTCTGCTTCTGGGCACCAGTAATCATTCAGCAAAACGCTGCGCAGATGTCTTTCATCCTGTTCTCTGTTCTTCCGCCACCCCAAAGGAGTGCTGAGGGAGGGCAGAGGCATCGCCCTCCCTCCAGAAATTCTCAGCTCTGTGAGCTGCCTTCGCCTGAGCCCATCTCTTCCAGATGCTTTCCGTTTCTTGTGCAGTGAAGCTTCAGACCTGATGCTTGACAAGAAAGGGAAGTCCTAAACCTAATCACCCTCATCTTTCACCTACTTCCAGACTACCTCAGTCTGCTTCCTCCCTCAGGTCCTCCTCTGTTTGCCTTCACCTGAAATAAGATGAAGCCTTATTTTAAAGGCTTTTTGTCCCCCCTTCAGAATCTCTAGGAATTACTAAAGAAAGGAAGAAACTCGATACCCAGATTCCAGTTAACTTTGTCACTGATTGTTACGTAACTGTGGATGAATCACAGGTTAAGTGGGACAGAAAATCTCCAGTGAACGGGGCTTGCCAAGAATGGCAGAGGACCAGGCCCCGATGTTCCTATCATCTTTACTCCCCAGTGTGGAAAACCCTGGGGTGGAAATGGAGAGCGCTAGGCAAGCAAAGTGAGTGGCATTTGTCAGTGTAAGTATGTCCACTGCAGGGAGAGTGGGGGCAGCCTAAGGCAGCCAGAATTTAGCTAGAACCTAAGGCAGCAGACTCTCCAGGGGACAGAATGGGCCCAGCAGACCTTTGGGCCAGCAGCTTAACTTGGGGAATTCAGAAACACCTGAAGGTTGTCTGTCCCACTCTACCAGATTCTTCTCCTGCTGAGATGTGACTGGTTTGTGTAGGACAGTTTAAGGGTCGGGGAGGAGGAGACAGGGCCTTCTTATCAGCGTGCTTCCTCTCACTCCTCCAGACCTGCTCCTGCTAATCTGTTTCCACAGGCAGCATCTCTTAGCTGCTTGCAATTGATAGCTTGTTTGGCATACGGATTTATGCCTGCCAAAAGCTCTACCTTGAGGCAGGTGAGATTATTTCGGTGAGTACCGCGTTCAGTGTTAATGTTGCTTTAAATCACTTTTAGTGTTGTTTGAATGTTGCACCTTAGATTTTCTTATAGATCATGGAGCCTATTGCACTGGAGAGCGAGCTGCCCCTACTTAGTGATTTACATACCGGATAAATGTGCTGGGTCACTGAATGAACATGTTTAACTTCTATAATAAAATGAGACTGGTAAATATTTCTCTTTTCACCAGAGGAAAAACAAAGTGAGGAGGATGCCTTCAACCCGGAGTCAGCTGGTAGGAGCTGGGAGTTCCCAGCTACTAGTCATCCTTTTAGACATCTATAACTCATTCCACTAAATCCTCTCTTTTGTAAGCACGGACTGTCTTTTTATCTGGCGGAAATGCAGCGTGCCATTAGAATGACGTGGTCTGTTAGTGTACCTCATACAATTAACATACTGTCCAGCCGTCAGAAGATTTAAGTTGACGAGGTTCCCTGTAATGAATTATTTGTAGAATATGCCATTATGTGCCATAATGTATAAGGTGTCTGGTGTCTTGATGTCAAATCTGGTCAAAGGAATGCCTCCAATTTAGTTTTAGGCACCGACTATTGTAAAGTTGTGCTTCCATTCCCAGGAGTCAGTTGAATGAAGAATATAACAATACACTTTTTGTCCCTTCTCTTTCTAGATGTATTGCTGTCATTGAATATTGGCCCATTTGAAAGTGCTAGGGAAGCTCAATCATCAGGATGTCCAAGTACAAACTGATTATGTTAAGACATGGAGAGGGCGCTTGGAATAAAGAGAATCGTTTTTGTAGCTGGGTGGATCAGAAACTTAACAGTGAAGGAATGGAGGAAGCTCGGAACTGTGGAAAGCAACTCAAAGCACTAAACTTGGAGTTTGATCTCGTATTCACATCCATCCTGAATCGGTCCATCCACACAGCCTGGCTGATCCTGGAAGAGCTGGGCCAGGAGTGGGTTCCGGTGGAAAGCTCCTGGCGTCTAAATGAGCGTCACTATGGAGCTTTGATCGGTCTCAACAGGGAGCAGATGGCTTTGAATCACGGTGAAGAACAAGTGAGGCTCTGGAGAAGAAGCTACAATGTGACCCCACCACCCATTGAGGAATCTCACCCTTTCTACCATGAAATCTACAATGACCGGAGGTATAAAGTGTGCGACGTACCTGTGGATCAGCTGCCCCGATCTGAAAGCTTAAAGGATGTTCTGGAGAGACTCCTTCCCTTTTGGAACGAAAGGATTGCTCCTGAAGTATTAAGTGGCAAAACCGTTCTGATATCCGCTCATGGAAATAGCAGTAGGGCTCTCCTGAAGCATCTGGAAGGTACCATCTTTATGCTACTACTTCCTAGAGGTTGTGAGTGTTATACTTGGGCCTTAATCTAGAAAGGACATGGTTTCTGAGCTAATAATGCACAACTGGCATGATAGACTTTCTTTCCCGTTCCTTTTTGCCACTTTAGTCTTTTAAGAATCATTTTGTTCTATAAATGAAAAACCCTGTGCCTTTTACATTCATATTATAGACAGAAGTGATTCTAAAACTTTAGCAAGCATCAGAATTACCTGGAGGGAGAGTTTGATCTACTACAGATTGCTGGCCCCACCTTTGGAGTTTCTGAATTCGTAGGCCTCGGGTGTGGCTGGAGAATTTGCATTTCTAAGACGTTTTATGGTAATGCCCATACTGCTGCTTGGGGTTCTCCACTTTGAGAACCTTTGATATAAAAGATTATATGGCTTTTGTTGTAATAAGGGTAAGGGAGGCTAGGAAGGGTATATATTTCTATAGAAATGGTATGCAAAGCGCACTTACTTATTTGAGTCTTTCCAGATAAATAAAATGATCTAGACTTTGGTTTTGCCCATGCTCTTCCAACTTTAAACAGTTATTCCGGTGTTTCAGACCTGGCCTTCCTGAACAATTCCTTCATTCTAATCCTCTTTCCAGACCAGCCTGAGTCATTGCTTGGGAGAAAGTTAGGGGGACAGAAAAGGAAAGTATGGCTTTTTGGAGATAACCAGTTGCCTCCATTTAACTCAAGCATTTAACTGCTTGATGTTGTATTCTAAATGTATTCTGAAATGTACACTATTGTTATCTTCCTCTTAAGTAACGTGAACTAAATGAACTCTTGAGGACTCGAGCTCACCAGTTTGGAGCGTCAGTGATGGCCCTGTGGCACCTTCAGGGGGGTCTCTCCTTCCCCTTTCTCCCTTCACTAAGTAATCCTAAGGAGTTGTGCGTTTTGAGTGATCTGCTCCATCCACTGTTTCCCTGTCTGTTAGCACTCTTAGCAGTTAGCCCATGATACTAGAATGCATTTCTCCAACATTCCCTTCCCATTCTGCTTTACTTTTCTCTAAGAGCCTGTGAGAAATGAAAAGGTTGACATTGCATGTGAAATAAGTGAAAATAGGTTATTGGTAACAAAACAAAGTGATCTTTATGAGATTTTATTGTAAACTTTTTAGCATGTGTTTTTACCCCTGATTTTTATATAACATGGCCGGGAGCCAAATCATTACTCCTATACCTGCATCCATTAGTTGTGCAGAGATCTAAACTCTACAGATTTTATTGGCTATTAAAAATGTTACTGGCTAGTCATGGCGCTCAATCTGTTGGTGTATGTTTGTGTATATATCTTATTTACTCAACTATATAAAGGGTTCTATTCTTCCTCTTTCAGAATAGTCAGATACTGGATTAAATGATAAATAACATCATCGTTATTGGACTATAGTACTTTATTGTTTGAAGAAGAGTTGAGCCTTCTCTTAGGACAACGACAAACTGAAATGGAGAATTTCGAAGTTTCTGCCAAAAGATGTATTCTGTCCCACGACGCCAGTTCCTTTTTTCCAGAGACAGGGCTTAGACCTCCTTGTGGCCAAGCTCCCTTCCCTAAAGAAAATGCCATCACCTCCTTCAGGATCCTCTTTTCTTCCCTGTCTTAGCTAGGAAATCCTCCCTTTAAAAACGATTTCTTGCTGTTTAATACCATTTATTCTTCAACTGTCTTCAGGTTTAGATGTCTTTAAGATTATTCTGCATCCCCAACCACAGCTCATCTTAGATACCCTCTTCTTTTAGTGCGTCAGTGACTTCACGATTTCTTACTGTTCTTTTTTTGAAGGGAATAGGAAGGTTTACAGATGGTGGTGAGGACGACTACCACCGTGGTGGGAGTGGAGGCAGACCTGCCTGTGGAGGGCAAGGTTACCCACAGAAAGCTTACTTTCTGCATTTGAAGCAGGTTTTGAAACCACTAATAATTTATTTAAAAAACAATCATTTGGGATAGCTGCTGTGGAAAACAATCTGGCAGCTTCTCGATAGATTAAACATGCAGTTACCATATGAGCCACCAATTGTACTCCTAGGTATTTACCTGTATTCATTTCCTAGTGCTACTGTGACAAAGTACCAATCACTGCATGGCTTAAAACAACAGATACTAGTTTTCTCACAGTTCTGGGGCCTGGAAGTCCTAAATTAAAGTGTTCGCAGCGTCATATTCTCTCTGAAGTCTCAAGGCGAGAATCCTTTCTTGCCTCTTCTAGCTTCTTGTGTTCGTTGGAAATCTTGGGCATTCCCTGGCTTGTAGATGCATCATTGCGGCCCTCAGTCTTCACTTGGTGTTTTCCCCATGTGTCTCTCTCTTCCTTGTCCAAATGTTCCCTTTTTGTAAGAACACAAATAATAGTAGAGTAGGGCCAAAGACCTCCTCTTAACTTGATTACCTTGATAAAGACCCTATTTCCAAATAAGGTCACATTCTCAGGTTAGGACTTCAGTGTATCTTTTTGGAGGGATACAGTTCAACCCATAACAGTACTTAAGAGAAATGAAAACATATGTCCACAGGAAAACTTGTATACAAACCTTCATAGCAGTATTATTCATAAGAGCCAAAACATGGGAGCATCCCAAATGCCCATCACGTAGTGACTAGATAAATTAAATTTGGTATATCCATACAATAGAATATTATTTGGCAATGAAAACAAATGGAATAGTCTTCTGTGCTATAACACGGATGAACTTTGAAATCGTTGTTACCTGAAAGAAACCAGTCACAAAGGAGCATATATTGTACAATTCTACTTAAATGAAATGTCAGCATGGCCAAATCTTTAGAGACAGAGAAGATTGTTTCCTAGGCCTGGGGTGGAGGTGGTGGGGGTGTGGACTGAAGAGTGACTGCAGTTAGGTATCGGCTTTCTTGTTGGGGTGGTGAAAATGTGCTAAAATTGATTGTGATGATGGTCACACAAGTCTGAGTGTACTAAAAGCCATTGACCTGAACACTTTATGTGGGGAAATGGTATGGTATGGGAATTATCTAATTAAAGCTGCAAAAATAGCTTGATCAATGGGATTGAAAGATGAAAGGATTTGACATTGGCCTAGAAAAAAATATTTCAGGGCAAATACATGGAAATGCTATCAAAGTAGACATGCATGGATGTGGAGTACAGAATAAGGAAAAAATAAAATAAAATACAACTTTGACCTCTAGGGCAGAAGTGGATTTATAGGGATTGCTGAGAAATTAGCAGACATTAGTTCTCAGGCTTTATTTAAACTTTCTTCTGAAGGTCTTTTTTTAAACGTTGGATGTATAGAACTAAATTACCTTTCAGAGCTTACTGAAGTTGAAGCAATCTTGAATTATAATTCCTATCCCTATCACTATAAATAGGCCTTAGACACAATGTGTTTATTTGCGAGATAGTTTAAAACAGCGGTATTCATGCTGGAAGAGGTAAATAGTACAAGGAGACTCGAGTCAGAAGTTATGTGAAAGTGGAAGAGGTGTGGAGTTGGCTCATGTCTGCAGCAGAGGACGAGGGAGGTGTAGATGAGGGAGACAGGGACTGGAGACGGGAGGTTAGGTGACCAGGGAGGATGGCAGACATTCAGGGGGAAAAAATGGCCGAAAATCCAGAATATGCCATTGGCACAAGGCCACAGGTGGGGAAACAAATGGAGTGGGTGGGAAGATTGGGATCTGTCCATAGAAGACACAAGGCTGGTATGTAATCTTGGCTCACCCATCCTGGGTAGGGGAACAACTTTGTTCCTTTTTGGCCTGTAGTACCTCCTGGTGGTGCTGTTGTTAAGATTCACAGAGCTCTTTGATGTCGCTGTGATTTCCTGTAATGACTTCCATGCCTAACATGGAAGAAATTATTTCATGTGCATGAAATGGACTAAACTAGATTTTAGGATCACTTGATAAATTAGTTATCATGTCTTATTTTAGGAGTTCTCTAAGTACCAATCTCCACTAAGAAATTTCTCTTACAGTGTATACTGAAAAATAAGATGCAAGTATTCTATGTCACAGCTCTAAGAATTAAGTATAAGTAACTTTCCCAAGATCAGAAGAAATCGTGTGTTATTTCTTCCATGTCATTTCTGTTAATGAGATTTTAGGTTTTTTAAAATTTATTCTGGATGTATATGGTCACCGGAATAGGAATCCCAACATGAGTCCTCTTACCTCACATGTTTGACCTTCAGGAGCTCAAGTTATAGGGCTTTATGTGGTACTTGATAAATTCCCAACCTAAAAGAAAACATTCCTTTGAATTTGGATGCTAACTTTTTAAGACTCCAAAATATTAGGTCAATCTCCCTCACTTTAGGGGGAAAAATAGAGATTTTTATCTGATAGTAAGGACTACTTGCAATTTATTTGTGATTATATGTGTTTGGTGTGTTAAAAACATATCATAAAATTTACCATCTTAATTGCCAATTTATTCTTACTGTAAAGTTACATGACTATACATACCACCATTAGCCATTTTCTGGTTAATACCTATTGTCCCAGTGCAATTATTTATTTATTTTTTTTTTTAAAAGATTTTATTTATTTATTTGAGACAGAGAGAATGAGAGAGAGAGAGCACATGAGAGGGGGGAGGGTCAGAGGCAGAAGCAGGCTCCCTGCCGAGCAGGGAGCCCGATGCGGGACTCGATCCAGGGACTCCAGGATCATGACCTGAGCCGAAGGCAGTCGCTTAACCAACTGAGCCACCCAGGTGCCCCGTCCCAGTGCAATTATTAATAGCCTCTCCTTTCACTTTCAAAAGTGCCCCACTTGAATGATAAATCATGTGGTCATCTTACTATAAAGATGTTAGCCTTCATTAGTATTAAGAATGAGTCCTTGGGGCGCCTGCGTGGCTCAGTTGTTAAGCATCTGCCTTCAGCTCAGGTCATGATCCCAGGGTCCTGGGATCGAGCCTCATTTAGGGCTCCCTGCTCAGCAGGGAGTCTGCTTCTCCCTCTCCCTCTGTCTCCTCCCC